ACTGTTTTGCCATTAGCACTCCACTACCAACCCCAATTAGCTCTGTTGTTTTACCATTGGTGGGAAAATCCAAATGAGTAAGGGTGATTGCAGCTCCTGTGTCTACTAACCATTTGTTACAGTGGCCTCTAACTGCAACTTCAACACTAGGTCTGCCAAATCTATCAGATTTCAAATCACCCACCTTTCTAATAGAAGCCAGACAACCCCTATTGTTTCAAATACACATTCTCCTTGGACTTGACACTTGAGTCAGTCTGAGCATCACCCTGAGCCATCAGTTGTTTAATTTCATTTAGCAGTCTATTCATATCATCTTATGTCATAGTTGGAGCTGACGGGGTTGATTCCGGCATCTCCCTGGATCCCTCTGCTCCCTGCACTCTTGGTTTAGGCCTATACCCTGCTGAGCCTCCACCCTTTGACCAACAATCTTTCTTGAAATGTCCTACCTTACCACAGTTGGGACAAGCATCCTTATTAGTGGTCTTACGCCTACCCTCATTGGTGACTACTGCTGATACCTTTCTCTTATGGCTTGGACTGCTATGCGTTGTCTCATACCAGCTACTAAGCAGACTTCCAATATCTGCAAAGGTCAAGTTACCTTCTTTCTGTTTCTGATTCAATGCTAGCTTAGTGGCATCATTTATTATTGAAAAATACTGCTGCATTACTAATGCCAGGAATGCAGGATCATTCCGCTGTGGTTGTGGAATTCCAAAATTTCTAGCATAACAATTAAACAGACGATTCATATAGGCCATAGGGTTTTCCCCCTTCTCTGGCTTAGTGTCCTGGATCCGCCCCCAATTAGGCTGTGGATTGCCAATCAGGTTCAGCAGTGCTGTCTCTCTCTGCTGAACAGTTGCCCATTCACCATCAACAGCCATTCTGAGATTATCTGGGAGTGACTCCACTAAGTCTGCCGGTATAGTTAGCTGTATTATTTGGCAGCAGTCTTGATTGTCTAGACCATTTGCCCTGGCTTGTCTCTCTAACTCAGACAAATATGGCCGAGGATCAGACGCGCCATCCAATTTACCTACATTTCTGCATAAATTACCCAGCTCAGATGTGGATAGTGGGATATGCTCATGGATCTCCTGATATTCATACTGTGCTGTAGCAGGCTGCCCGTCAACCTCGGCAGCTGCCCTTCTGTGTGTCCTGCGCTCTCTCACACGAAATGGTGCAACATTAACTGGGCTCACATTAGCCCCCTCATCTGAAGTGTCACTATCACTGTCAGAATCCGCCGGCAGACTAATGCCCAAAGCTGCAACATGTCCCTTAACCTGTTCTAACTTGCTCTTTAGAACAGTATCCTCATCCCCAGCACGCTTTTTATGCACTTCTGGGTTTTTAATACTTCTGGATCAAAGTGCCTCATAAGCATTCTGACACTTCTCCAGTTCCTTTTGGAGGAAGGCATTAGCTTCCTTAGCTGCTTCCAGGCCCTGCCTAAGAGAACTACCAGTTGCCTCAGTTCAATGCTGTTTTCTGCAGCTAGCCGACGCTCTGCTTGACTAGCAGAGTTCTCCTGTTCGAGACTCTCTATTCTATTCCTCAATTCAGCAATTGTACTCCAATGCTGAGTACACTCGGACTGTGAACTTGCCAGTCTGCCATTAATTTCTTGCTGTCCTTCCAGCAAGGCCTGTAACACGTTAGCATGCTTCTGCTTTTTCTTGGAACATTTTATGTTCCTTTCCCTGCATGCCTCCTCTAGCCACTCTAGAGGGTCTAGCTTATCTGTGAGAGATCCGTACGATCCCTCCTTGCAATGCTTTGCAACATATACGATGGCCCACTCCATCATTGTAGGTTCTGAGTATAAATTTAAACTCTCACAGTATAAACTTACACAATATACCTACGGTGGTGGTTTATCTCAAGGACACAGGGTTA